CACATGCATACTCTCACACAAAACACACACACACACACACCACACACACACACACACACACCACACACACACACACACACACACACAACACACACACACACACACACACACACCACACACACACACAACACACACACACACACACACACACTCACACTCAAAGCATAATTGGACGCTCTTATATGCTGCCGCCTGTACCCTTCCTCCAGATACAGCTGTCTCATATCTCACTCAGTTCCATCTCTTCGCCTGCGCTCTGTCTACCCTCGTTCTCCCGACTCTTCCTGGCCTTACGACCGTGCCACCTCAACAGGCTGCTCTTGGCTTCTCCACAGGGGCGTCGTTTGGGAAGGGGGCTGGGGCATCAGTTGCCCCCCCCCCCCTTCCCAGACTCTGATTGCCCCCTCAAGATTTTTTCCCTAGATTACAACTTTATAGTTCTGGTCGTAGCTGACAAATACTCCTAGAGTAGCTCATCATCAACATATTTCTCGGGAAGCTGATTGTGGTCGCTTAGCTCGCCCCCCCCCCCCCAGGAAAAACTGAAATGACGCCCCTGCTTTTCCACAATTGACAACTGCCTTCAGTCTTCACACCCATCAACTATCGTAGTATTCTCAACTATGTCCTTTCCAGTTGTTTCTATTCTTTCTTTCTTAGTACTCAGGCTTCTCCACCATACAGTGGTACTGGTCTAATTGCGGTTGTATAATTTCTAATTTTCGCTTTACATGGAATCTTTTCACTACAAATAGGTAGCTCAGCTGACTTCCTCCATGCTGCCCATCATGCTTCTATCATCCAGTTCCGTCCCTCCACTGCCATAAACCAGTGTTATCCGCTGTTAGCCACGATAACATTCTTTCCTTTAGGATTTCCTCTGAGGATGCTATCAGCACCAAATCATCTGTATGTAGGAGCTTTCAGATATCTCTGTGTTACCATTTATTGTCCTTACCACTATTTTTTATTTTCTGCCCATATCTTTACTACATCCATAAATCTCTCAGGCACCAGAACGCTACCTCCCTTGGGACCCCACCTTATATACCTTCTCAAGGTCAACAAGTCTATAATACACCCTCTTATTTCCCTCCAGAGCCTTCTCTTACAATTCCCTCATAGTTAGGATAGCTTCTTCCTTCCATGAATCCAAACTGGGTACTTCTTCATCTGCACAACATGTCTTAATCTGTCATCCACAAGCCATGCAACCACTTTTTATAGGGGTCCCCTGTTCACCCGGTTCCTCCTCCAATCATCTGGCATTTGTCCATCTTTCATTTTTCCGCTGCAAGTTTCAGCAGCCTTTCCTTACCACCATCTTACTGCAAATATCGGCTCAATGGTCCTGGGGTCTTCTTCTCTTTCCATCTATTCTCTACTGATACAAGCTTTCTCCTCTAAACATTGCCTTTCATTCTCCACATTTAAAAGCTGCTCATATATTTTTCATCTTTCTTTTATATCCATTTCACTTTGTAGAACGTGTCCCTTATCGTCCTTTACAGCTCCAAGTATCCCTCCGTCTTTTCTTTTGTTTTGTCTTGCTTTTGCAATCTTGACTATCTTTTTTCACCTTTTCTTGTCATCAAACTTTCATAGAAATAATTAGTTGCTAACTCATTAACTTCTCTATTTGCTGCGTTTGCCTCCCGTCTTATCCTTCTGGATAGTTCAATCGCCTCGTCTCTATTACGAATTGGCCATTCCTTGAGTGCCCTCTTGTTCAGCGCTAATGCCTTCACTCCACCACCAGTCATCTGGTCCTCTTCCTCTGGGTCCACAAATCACTTCCTCCGCTGCGCCCACAGCTCATTCGTCGCATTCTTTTATCTCAAGCATGTTCTTTCCCTGTTGTTCATTCTATCTAAACTGCATCTTCTCTCCCTTCAATCCCCAAAGTTTTAGTCTCCTGTTTCTTTATCGCTTCTTCTCCCTTCCTGTCCCCCATTTAAGTCATGTCACACGCACACATGCATACTCTCACACAAAACACACACACACACACACACACACACACACACACACACACACACACACACACACACACACACACACACACACACACACACACACACATACACACATATATATATATATGTGACTGCCGCGATGGTCCACTGGTTAGAGTACTTTACTCCGACCCTCGTGGTCCCGGGTTCAATTCTCCGTCGCGGGAGTCGTAAAAATGCCTGCGCTCTGACTTCCAATCAGGCAAGGATGACACTGCCATATAACCTCTCAATAGTGAATTGAGAGAGGCCTATGTCCTGCAGTGGAATGAATGGCTGCTGGAAAAAAAGAAAAGAAAGAAAGAAAAAAAAGAGAGAGAGAGAGAGAGAAAAAAAATCTACATATATATATATATATATATATATATATATATATATATATATATATATATATATATATATATACATATATACACAAAAGCATATAAGGTATAAATTGAAATACTGGTCAAATCCCGATTGCCAGTGCCCATGATGAATATGGG